CAGCCACCTGTGAATGTGTTTGTGTTGGATTAGACTAATCACATGTGTTTTTTGCCTCATAAACACTTAAAGGCCGACTCAAACACACGCGCACACACACCTACTCACACGCCTTCGTCTTAACCACACGATTTCTCCAAGCTTGGCAAAATGCATTGATAAGCAAGTGCATGCATATACACACACACGCACGCACACACACTCATGCACACACACTGTAGTGTGAAATTGGGTCAGCAGTGGAGAGTGGGCTTTAATGCCGAGCACATACGCTCTCTAAAACTGATCTGCATATTCATGTGGGTGGCTATCAAAATGACACACGCACACGAGTACATGCGCACGGAAACATGCACGCACATGAATAAGTACATGCATGTACACATTGGCCTAAACTTATCCATCCCACACACGTGCCCACATAAACAGATGCATGCAAATGCACAAACACACAGACAACAAAGCACAAAGAAAACCCTGAATCTCATGGATATTGCAACTGTCAAGGAGCCACAGGGGGCAGTTACGTTCTACTCATTCTAATTCTGTGGCTTAAAATGAGCTTCTTCCTCTCCCGGCTGTACCATGTCAATCATTTTTCTCCCTCTCCTTTCACTTCTCTTCCTCCATTCCCCCTCATTCTCCCGCTGGCAGAAGGTCCGTGACCATCCTTTCAGAGCACGGCGAAGTCCGGCCGATGCCGGCGGCCCCGCAGAGCAGCTCTCATTACTTCACAACTTTTGAGTGAGCCGTAACATCGTTAAAACCCTTAGAAGCGCTCACACTTCTTCACAAAGAAATTCAAGCGCCTGAAACAGATGGAAAAAGGGAAAAAAAGTAACCAAGAATCATTGCTGCTGAGTTTGGAAGACAGTTGGAGGAAGAAGCCGACTGAAATAAAGGTGTGGATGGTGGGGTGGGGGAATGGGAGGAAAAGGGGGGAAGATGGAGAGAGAAGGAGAGGTCTCCCCTTAAGGATACACTCGTCAAAACCCCCCTACTTTGCGTTTCTGACTTTTTCAGCGAGGAACAACAGTTTTCTCTGACAAAGCATTTTTCCTGCTTATTTGCAGACGGAGGGAGGAGACGGGGCTCAAGTTGGAACGTGAGAAACCGAAAGGATGTAACAAAGGATTCAGAGCCAGTAAGCAGATAGCTCTGAAGGCCGCTAGGGGCCGGGGAGAGGGGGGGGGGGGGGGGGGGGGGGGGGG